GGGAGAAGGAGAGAGAGAAGGAGGGAGGGAAAAAGAGAAGGAGGGAGAGAGAAGAAAAGGGGAGAGAAGAGGGAGAGAGATGGACAGAAAGAGAAGGAAAGAAGAGAGAAGGGGAGGGAAGGGGGAAGGAGGGGGGAAGAGAGGAGGGAGGGATAGAAGAAGGGAGAGATAGAAGAAGAGAGTAGGAGGGAGGAGGGAGGGAAAGAAAGAGAGGAGGGGGAGAGATGGAGAGAGAGAAGAGAAAGAAGAGAGGAGAGAGATGGATGGAAAGAGAGAAGGAAAGGAGAGAAAAGGGGAGGGGGAAGGAGGGAGAGAGAAAGAGGGACAGATGTAAGAAGATAAATAAGGAGGGAGGCAGGCGGGAGAAAGAAGGAAAGGGAAGAGGAAGAGAAAAGGAGGGGGAGAGAGAGAGGAGAGAAGAGGAGAAAGAAAAGAGAGAGGGAGAGAAGGGAGAGAAAGATAGATGGGAAAGAGAAAAGGGGAGGGGGGAGCCTTCCTGAAGATAGCCCTTCCCCCAGCCCCTCTCTGGTGGGCTCTCCAGAGCAGGACATTGGCAGCCGGAAGGCAGCCAGAGGCTGAGGACAGGAAGATGAAAGGCCCTGGGGCAGTGCCCAGTGAGAGCTGGCCGGAGAGGATGAGAGGTCAGGGGCCGTGAGAGCGTCTTCAGTGTCTGCAGGGCCGGCCTGTGGAGGAGGGCTCGGTTAGCCCTAGGGACCCTGGCGGTACAGGGACCGGGAGTAGAGCCTCGTGCTCCTCCGACCGCGGCTGGCCCAGGTGCGCAGGGTGGCTTCCCCCTCACCGGACAGCCCCTTGCTGCGGACGTGAGCTGCCAGGGAGGCAGATGCCTGTGGGACCATGTCCGTGGTGGGATTTCTCCTGTAGAGACTCGTCTTTGAGATCACAGGCTGGAATAGCAGAGCCTCGGGTCTGGGGTGCAGCTGACCTTTCCTGGGGGTCCCGGTGACCACACCTAGGGCCAGGCTGTTCTCCCCACGGGACAGCGCTAGGGCCCTGCAAGTCAGAGAGCTCAGTCCCCACTCTGACACTTCCTAGCTGTGTGATGTCCCAAAGTGTCTTCTGCGCTCTGGGCCTCAGTTTCCCCCTTTGTAAAATGAGATAGACGGCCCCCTGAGGTCCCTTCTAGCTCCAGATAGATGACCCGATGGCCCTGTGGCCGGGGGCCCTCTTTCCAAATGCCTGATGGGCAGATGAAGAGGCTGGGAATGGGGGGATCGGTGTTCTTTGCGTCTCATTTCCCCAGGTGACTTACTCTGGCCAGAGTGTGTTTCCTCCTGAGTCCCCCTTCCCCCATTCGGTCCTCCTCCCTCATGGGTCCAGCATCCTCTCTTCCTTCCTGTTTCTGCCTTCCCACACGCTCTCGCCTGCCTCTGGGGTTGGCCCTAAACGTCCCCGTACCTTCTCAGCTCCTTCCCCAGCCCCGACCACATCTCTGCCCCCTTCCTGCCTCGGGGAGTGTGTGTGTGTGTGTGTGTGTGTGTGTGTGTGTGTGTGTGTGTGTGTGTGTGGCCAGAGGAGGGACTGGGGGGGGAGGGGTCTTGGCAGGTGAGAAGAAGGCCAGTGCAGTCTGGACGCTGCCCCCGGGTGGGGGACGGAAGCGGCAGTGACCTCAGCCCCCCAGAGCTGCCCCGGGCCTACATTAGGGTCTCCCTAAAGCAGGCCCGTGGGGCCCCCAAAGAACCTTAGCCCAGGTCGCCTCAGATGGGGGTTGGGGGGAGTGGGTGGCAGGAGGCAGGGCTGCTCAGCCCCTTCCTAGTCCTGGGCCGGCCCCTGAGATTCCCCTCCTTCCTTTCCTTGGCCACAGCGGACTCCACGGGGACACACTCTGTCTACACCACCTACCAAGACCACGAGATCATGTTCCATGTCTCCACCATGTTGCCTTACACCCCCAACAACCAGCAGCAGGTGTGGGAGGGCACCTGGGCCGGAACCTGGAGGGGCTTCGTGCCAGGGCCAGGCTCCTGGCCTGGATCTTCACTCACCTCTCTCCATCCTTCAGGCTGGGCTTGGAGGGAGGCAGGGGCTCAGGGGCTCCTAGGTCTAGACTGGGAGGGCCAGCATCAGCTAGGCACAGTTTGTGTGACTGTGGGCCTCAGTTTCCTCATCTGTTAAAAAAAAAAAAAAAGGAGGCTGGATCCTCTGTTTGAGGATCTGTTGGGGAGAGGGGAGTTCTCGGGGCCTCGCTGCCTCCCGAGCCACCCCTAACCCCAGTCTCGTTCCCCAGCTCCTTCGGAAAAGACATATTGGCAATGACATTGTGACGATCATCTTCCAGGAGCCCGGGGCCCTACCCTTCTGCCCCAGCACCATCCGATCTCACTTTCAGCATGTCTTCCTGGTGGTCCGGGCCCACGCTCCCTGCACCCCCCACACCTCCTACAGGTCTGTGGCTTGGGGCGGGTCCTGGGTGGCCTCCACCCCAGAGCCAGCCATTCCTGGGGGAAGGACCCTTGTGAGAGGGGAAGGATTCCACGGGGTTGTAAGCCCCCTACTCCAAAGCTGGTGGTGGAGTTGCTGATGCCCACCTCCTTTCCTCCCCCGGCAGCGTGGCCGTGAGCCGGACCCAGGACACCCCAGCCTTCGGCCCTGCCCTCCCCCCTGGCGGGGGGCCCTTCCCAGCCTCCCCGGCCTTCCGGGCCTTGCTGCTGGCCAAAGCTCTCAATGGCGAGCAGGCCGCCAGCCGGGCCCGCAAGTTTCACGCGATGGCCACGCGCACCCGGCGGGACTACCTTCTGGAGCTGGCCACCAATGAGGTGACCACAACCTCTCTGGACTCAGCCTCCCGCTTCGGCCTGCCCTCCTTGGGGGCTCGCAGACGCGAGCGGCCCCGGGGCCCAGGCGGCGAGCTGCAGACGCAGGGGGCCCTGGTATGGGGGGTGCGGGCCGCGCCGGGGGGTGAGGACGGGGCGGCTGAAGTCCCCTGCCTGCTGGGGATCTCGGCTGAGACGCTGGTGCTGGTGACTCCCCGCGATGGCCGTGTCATCTTCAACTGCGCCTGCCGAGACATACTGGCCTGGACTTTTTCTGACCATCAGCTGGACCTGTACCACGGACGAGGGGAGGTGCTGACCTTGCGGGTGGGCGGTGCCGCTGGTGAGGCTGTGGGGGAGATCGTGGCCAGGCTGCAGGTGAGGCTGGGGACTGGGCAAGAGGTGTTGGGGTGGGGCTGAGCAAAGCCCCACGTAAAAACCCCCTAAAGGGAGGAGGAGGAGGAGGAGGAAGAGGAGAGGCCTACAGGGGCTCCTGGGGTTTTCCTCCCAAGCCTGGGACCCGACAGATGTCTCCCTTGCAGCTGGTGAGCCGAGGCTGTGAAAGCCGGGAGCTGGCCCTGCCCCGTGATGGCCAGGGCCGGCTGGGCTTTGAGGCAGACGACGAGGGCTTCGTGAACCAGGTGGAGCGGTTCACTTTCGCCGAGACTGCTGGGCTGAGGCCTGGGGCTCGACTCTTGAGGATATGCGGCCGCCCCCTCCCGCGCCTGGGTCCTGGGGCTGCCGCTGCCCTCTTGCGCTCGGCGCCCAAGGTCTGCGTCACCTTCCTGCTTCCTGACGAGAGTGGCCGGCCCCGAAGGTCAGAGCGCCCTAGGGCGCCGTGCCCACATCCCCCTGTCCTCCGGCCCAGACTTGGCCTGGAATTCCCACATCAGTCACTTCTTTGGACACTGGAAGCTTTTCAGTGTCTGTGTTGTCTCCCCCGGGGGAGGAAGGGCGGGCACCCCCAGAGCCCATGCCATGGTGGGGTTAGCTTATACCCAGAGGAGACCAAGGCTCTATGGGAACCCCCCACAAGGGCCTGGGCAGTGAGGGAGGGGGTTGGGGCTAAAGGGGATGGGAGGCTTTAAGTTAGGTCTCCAGCTCAGGCAGACCCTGGATGTAAGGCCTCTGCTGTCTGCTGTGTGACCCTGGGCCAGGAAGCTCCCCGGCCTCGGTTTCCCCATCTGCGCACAGCTGCCT